AACAAACCACAGAGAGGCTGCGATACAACACAGGCAGAGGGAGTGAGACACCATGTGACTCTGTATCTTTATACAGAGAATAACTGGTATATGAATGTGTTAAACCTATAACATTTAAACTGTGTATTACCCTTGAGATGAGATATTGTTCAGTTGAACAGGACTTTCAACAGTAAAAATACAAAAATGTTAAACTTCAATTAAGAAAAAGTCAAAATATATTTAAGCAGCCTATAGAACATCTATTGATCTATTGTTTTACTTCTGCTTTTCTTATTTCTTTTTTATATCTGCCAATATTTATTGATGTTGATGTATCTCAGATCAGCCGTCATCAGCTGACACTGTATCAGTTGGCCTGTTGTCCAAATCTACGTCCGTCATTGACTTCAAACAGCAGCGTGTCGTGATGACAAAGACCTCTAAAGATTTTCGGATGCAGACGACTTCCTGCAGCAGCGAGTGGATGTTCAGGATTTCCTCGACTAAAAAACACTGGAAAATCTGCTGCTTCCCATCCGTCTGGAATGCGTCCTGCCACCTTGTTTGTTTTTCCTGATCTCTTTCCAAATTTGTCTGTCTGTTGCCAGGGCGACGTCTGGATCTGCATGGAGCTGATGGACACCTCCCTCGACAAGTTCTACAAGCAGGTGATCGAGAAGGGCATGACCATCCCCGAGGACATCCTGGGAAAGATCGCCGTCTCAGTGGGTCCACACACAAAACACTTCTGAGAGCATAATGTGAAACGATTAAAAATGAATTCCACGTGACATGCTTCCTGTGAATACTCGGTTGATGTTAGCTTAATGACAGATATTTGTTATGTAACTCTCATTTGCTTATTAATGGGCTTTGTTATTACAGATAGTAAAAGCTTTGGAGCATCTGCACAGCAATCTGCAAGTCATACACAGAGGTAAGAGCCTGAGTGGAGACCCATTAAACCTCTCAGAGACAGTGTCAATATCCACTTCTGTGATGCATCATCACTCAGCTGCACTGAGCTGCTTTCTTTCTGTCTTTGTCTCATCCTGCTGCCTCCGGCTCCATTTAAAGGACCATACCAGTGTTTTGCATGTTTTATCTCATTAACTAGAAGTCACGAATGCTGCTGTGCGATATATAAATTATATTTTTTCTGATCCTTGGTTTCCATTCATTTGCTCTTGCTAGCATGAGTCATATAATCCATTACAGTGAACATGAAGTCTGCTTTTATTTTGGTCAAAGTTACATTATCGTTTTGACATTTTTCCAAATGAATCCCCTCTAAAGCTGCATTTATTAATCTCTCTGTATGAACAGTGGATTAAATGACTGTAATGGGACAGAAGTCACTCGGAGTGGTAAATTAGAGAAGAATTAGCACCCGACACTGCAGTCTTTCAAAACAGGGGTCTCAAACTCAGGTGCTGCTGGTATTGTCATCTGGGAGCCACTTTCAAGTACTACAAGAAAGTGCACTATTCCCGAATATATTTCCATGACTGATATCATACAGCCTTCAGTTCTGCTAGCTCCCTCCCTCTCAGCAAATTTAAACAGCCGGCTAAAGCACCAAGCAATCTAATCTCTATTTTTTTTGCACCAAACTGAATGCGTTTATAAAAATGTAATTGTTTTTGTTATTTTAATTTTATATGATGACTAAAAAATATACTAAAAATCTTGCATTATATTATATTTGACATCATGACACAGGTCGAAGGGAGGGGGATGGAGGGCTGGAAATTGTAGTTTGAGATCCCTGTTTTAGTGTCTTTCAGCTCATTGTTTTTGTTTTCTGTCCCGCAACTGTACAGTTTTGGTCCCACTGTACACTCTCCCAACACCAAACAGCAGATGTATAGACTTAGAAAGTAGCTGTTTAACATAGCTGGATGTGTAATTGATAATAATTATTACATAACACTATTTTACCTGGACGGTGAAGTTTATTTTAGCTAGTAAAAAACTTTAAAATATTTATTTAAAAAAAAAATTTAAATGGAAATTTGGGTCTGGTTTGAGCCCAAAACTGCTGCTGTAGGTTGGGTTGAATTAGATTTATTTAATATATATTAATATTTTGTTAATAATGCATTCAACTGTAATCAATGAGTGGATTGGTATTTATTAGGTTTAATAATAATTATTACATAACAATATTATTACATGCACAATGAAGCTTGTAATTAAAAAACAGTTGCATAACAATGCAGAGATAATCTAAAATTGACAAAGAAGATTTTGGCTTCACGCCGATGGATTACACAACTCAAGCAAGTTTCAGCAGCCTATTTAATCATTTTCGAACCACATAGCAGTAATTTATGGTTACCTATATCACCACAGTAAAAATACAACCGAAATGCGTACACATTAATTGTAGCCAAGGCTACAAAAAGTCAGTTATTTGAGGGTTAACCTTCCTGTGTCAAACCTCTGTGGTCCAGCCGTGGCCACCGTGTGGCTTTTGTCTCATCGAAGCTTCATGTAGAAAGATCTTAAGTGTCACACGTTTGGTCTTCACCAGCGACCACAGCACTGTTTGGTTAGTCTGACTGCGGCCACGAGAGACGGCCGTTCTTTGGAAAAACCATGATGTGGCTGTGCACAAAACTAAAACTGCTTTTCTGTCTTCTTTCTCTCGCAGACGTGAAGCCCTCGAACGTTCTGATCAACACTCAGGGCCAGGTGAAGATGTGCGACTTTGGCATCAGCGGCTACCTGGTCGACTCTGTGGCTAAAACCATGGACGCTGGCTGCAAGCCCTACATGGCGGTAAGCTGAAGAGACCAAATGAAAGTGCTGTAATTTTTAACAACTGAAAACCCTGAAGCTTCATTTAAAGTGACACTGAAATCACAAAGTTATTCTCAAAATGATTTAAAGTGTATATGCTTCTTGCTAACTGTAGCTAACCAGCCAAGGACAGATAGCATTTTATTGGCAGTGGTATTAAAGAATAAGACCAAGCAATAGCTGTTCTAGGTGAGTCCGTTTTTAAAATGCTGAATGTGCTACAGCTAACTAGCCAATTAGCTACAGTATCCAGCCTGCAGACTGACATTAGCAGTGCGATTTTCTCCTGGTGGCGACACAACACATATCCATGCTAGAAGGAGATGCCAGCTAGAAAGCTAATGTGGTGGCTATCTTCAAAGAACTCTTCTGTCATGAAAGATGACGTTAATTAATTAGTGGTTTTATTATATATATATAATATATAATAAAGGTTTTTGGCGCGTTGCTACATTTCTTTTTGCATTAGGTTACAACTGTCAACTGTAAAAAAAACTCCAGAAGGTAGCTTTAAAGCTGCTTTAAAGCAGTTACAGTTATAGATGGGCCGATGTCACATCGCTCACAAGGCCAATAAACAAAACGACACATCTGCAGGCAGCATTGTCAGTGTGGCTGCTGTTTCCAGCCCTGCACTATAACTCTCATACATACTGCTGTAAACCAACTGTCCTCAGTCACCATCATTACTGGATATCTATAATGCAGTTGAATGATGTCTCTTCTGACAGACTACCCAGCTCATCTGTAATTACCAGTCATGTTCTGCATAAAACAATGTGTTTTTCTGTCGTTAATTAATAAAAACACAACACGTTACTGTCTAAGATAACCACATATGTTGGATTGTAATGTCCCATGGAATAATGGGTTATACATAGAAGTTATACATGACTTTTTTTTGTTTTGATGTCGGCATTATGTATCAGCCATCGCCCTGCTGTCATAATAGCCGCATTGGCATTAAAAATCTGTACGGGTCGACCGCTTTTTCCAATCGATGTGTTTATAACGCCGTGTCAAATGACAGAAAATTACCACCTGAACCTGCAGCTCCTCTCGGCTTTATGGAGCTTTGTATCGAGTTCCGGCTCATTGTTAAGCCACAAAGCACGCAGCTTTATTTAGAGAAAAAGCTGTAAAAACCCACAGTACTGAACTACCTGCTCAGCAGCGAACAGCAGACAGACGCAGCTCATAAACCCGCCATGTTAGCAGACGGGACGTGGGCCAAACTAAAGAAATCAGCAACCGTGTCCGAGTTGTTTTGGCTTCATTTTTTACCAGTAGCAGGAAGTGGAGACACGTCTTTTTATATGTCGATGAGACACTGGCACACACTTCTGGTGGCTCATAAGACATCTCCTTTAATACAGCCTCACAGAGCTGCTAGAACAAAATGTAATTTACAGAGATGGTCTGTTAGCTTTGGCTTTATCCAGTTTTATTTAGACAACAAAAGATCTTTGCTCTCAACTATAAAAAACAGTCATTTTTAGTGCAGTCCAGGAACCAAGTTGCATATCACAGCTTTGGTCAGATTTTGTTTATTAGCCACACATTTAATGAGCCCAGTTACATTTTAACCTTGTCTGCCCGGCTGCTGATTGGCTCAGTGGCTTTTAGGGCCAGGTTAGCGCTCAGGGAACACAGCACTCTCTTTGTGTGGACAAGAAGTTTAGGATGGGGGGGGGCACACAGGTTGTCCTTGACGACCGCTGCCAAAAGTGATATCATCTGACCTTCTTTAATATTAAATCTCCATCCCTTTTTCTTTTTCTGTTTCTGTTAAAGTTATTATAGTTACACAGTTATTATTATAGTTATTTTATTCCCAACACTTTTTCATACTGCGTTCATAATCCCTTCACCCAACTGGTGACCATCCCTGGTGATTGGGGGGGCACTGTGACAGTTCCTTCTTGAGCAGGCAGCATGGTGAAGGGACACTGGGTCCCAAACAGTCCCCCTCCTCAGGGTCTAGGGGCAGTTGGGTTAGGGATAAGGACCACAATGGTCCAGCTCTGTCCTACAAGGGTCTTGGGGCGAGTAAGTAGTAAGTAAAGTAAAAAGACGTTGAAATTAAAAAGGAATAATACACACATATATACTTAAAGGCAATAACGTCCAAATTCATAACAATAATCCTTAAATGTAACCATTATCCTCGGGACCCTGCTGACCCACTCTGGTGTTCCCTGGCGGTGCCCCCGTCCCCTTTCACTGCCAGTGACTGGGGCAGGTGTACAGCAGCGACCCCCTGACGTATTTTTTATTTTTCCTTAATTTCCTTTGCTCTCCCTTAGTATGCCAGCTCCTCCTGCTGTTTTTATTTATTTATTTATTTTATTATATATTTAACACCCAGCCACCCAGTCTGATAGTGTGGAACACAGACACACACACACACACACCTAGCCCGAGCCACTAACACCCACACTGATGTCCGTCTGACCAGTTCTGTAGCCATTGTTTCTGTCTTTGTCTTGTTGTTTGTATTTCGTGTCTTACAATAAAAAATAATAATAATCTGACCTTGTGTCCTGCAGCCGGAGAGGATCAACCCCGAGACGAACCAGAAAGGCTACAACGTCAAATCTGACATCTGGAGTTTAGGAATCACGATGGTAAATCAGCTTTTATTTTCATTTCAGAATTTATATCAGAAAAACTTTTCATCTCACTCACTCTCAGGTTTTAATGTCCTTAAAGCTGCAGCAGGTAACTTTTATGAAAATAACTTCACAATATCCTGACAGTAGTACATGAGACAGATAATCTGTGAAAAAATCAGCTTCCTCTGGCTCCTTCTACTCCTGTGGCGTTTACAAGAATCCAACGGCCCCGAACGAAACAACAATCAGGAGAGCCAGTTAATAGTCGGGTGGCGTACAAGTCTTTTTTTTTATTGGAGGAGCCAGAGGAACCTGATTGTTTCACAGATTATTTGTCTCATGTTCTACTGTCAGGATATAGTGAAAGTTTCAGCAAAAATGACACAAATTATCTTAATAAAAATGGGTTCACATCAGCATTTCTAAATGTCTTCATTGTTGAACAAAATAAACGTATCTGAAAGGTAAAAATGACTCATAATGAAAAAAGAAATCTGCCGTTTTATGAGGCATGGCTCTAGACGAAGTACCGTCTAGACGTTTTTATTATGAGTTGTTAAGTATTCATGGCTTTTCTCATTTGCACATTTTCAACTCAGGCTGCAGAATATTTTTGCTTCAAGGCTTCTGCAATCTGTGGCAATGTCCCATCATTTGAACCTCTGCCTCGTCCTTTGGCTCCGGCTTTTACAGACGAGCAGCAAATGTTTCAGCGCGAGTCTAATTTGGATGGTAATAAGAGCGCTAAATGTTCGGTGGGCAGGAGAGAGGAGGTTTAAACGATAGAGGTGAAAAGAACAGAGAAACTGGTTCATTATGGATTCTGAGTGGTGGGAGGGGGGTTTTATGTCTTAACTCCGAGATATCTTCAAAACCGGACACAACCGAAGAGCAATCAGTGTGTCGAATGAAACACACTTGTGATTTCGGGGTTGATTTATTGAGTATCTGTCGCTTCCCGAGAGCGGTGCTCAAGAGCCGCCAGGACCATGAATACTGAATGAACTGCAAAGTGAAGCAGTTGATGAGATTGTGGTTTGAATCAGTTGATCTGAAGGGTAGAGAACAAGGTAGCTAACGTAGTAGGTAACATGTTATCCAGGTTTCTGATTACATGTGTGCAGGAGAGTTAAGTTACGAAGTAGTCGGTAAAACAAAAAATCTGAGGATAAATGATGAAAAATTTAAGTTTCTTAGTTCATTGCTGGTGGAGTGGGTTTATTCTGCATATGTAGTGTTAGTGATGAATAAGTGGATACTAGTGTGCTCGTACAGTTCAGTGTTTCTCTCTCTCTCACTCAGATTGAGCTCGCCATCTTGCGCTTTCCGTACGATTCGTGGGGTACGCCCTTCCAGCAGCTGAAGCAGGTGGTGGAAGAACCTTCGCCCCAGCTTCCTGCCGACCAGTTCTCCCCCGACTTTGTGGACTTCACCTCTCAGTGGTATGTACAAAACATTCAGTTCCACATTTTTGGGATTCTTTCATTTTCTCCACACAATAAGCCGCCGAAGGCCGGGCTCTTGGGGCGAGAAGCCAGCGGAGTCGCTGTGCCCTTCAACGAGGCCGTGATGAATCATACGATCCCAGCTGAGTGGGCTTCACTTAATTTCCCCTTCAGTCAGATTGAGTTCATTATGACTTTCTTCTGTTGTTGTGAGACAGGATTTACAGTAAATAGAAGAATAACATCAGAATAAAAACATCAGTAAAAATAAGTCTTTAAATTGTTTTGTCCAGCTTAACTCAAAGTCACTCACAAGCTTTTTTCTCAGCTTTCAACCGTATCTCATGGCCTTCCTCAGCCCATGGAATATCACATCCAGATGTTCAGTTTACACAGATATCACACAGAGAAAAAAATTATCACATTTTAGAAGCTAAAACTGGCGAATATTTGCGGCTTCGTGTTGAACAATTAATCAGTATTGTAGGCCAAATCGAACCTTATGGCGGCCAAACTTTGGCACACAGGCCCCACTTTGAGCAGCCCTGGTGTAGCTCAAGCCTCCAGCTCAGCTCACAGTATGTGACCCCATTCACATTGAGCCAGTTAATGCATCCTGGGGTGGTTCAGATAGCAGATGTAAAAGCCAAGTGTGAAGACAAACAGGAAGCCCATCTTCCCGAGTGAACAGTATGTATCGATAATAATAACTTTATTTATATAGAACCCACACAAAGTGCTTTGACAGATAAAGCAACCTGATCATCGTGTTACACACAATTAAATATATAAAGAAATACAATAATAAGAGCAGAATAGAAGCAATAAAAATAAAATGAAAATAAAAATACCATAAGAAATGAAATAAAGTAGAAAGAATAAACAACATAACATGAAGGTTTTAAAAATGGGTTTTAAGAAGTGATTTAAAAGCAGTCACTGATACCTCCTCAGGCAGGTCTTTCCAAAGCCGACGGGTCCTGAAGGCAAAAGCACAGCCACCTTTAGATTTAAGCCTCGAACAGCTGGAAGGACCCCAGCTGAGGACCTGAGGACCTATAAGGCTGCGAACTGGCTCATAATGGATCAACATTTCTGCTATGTAGCCTGGGGCCAGACCCAGACGTGCTTTAAAAGCGATCAGTAAGATCTTAAAATTGTAAATCGAACAGAGGAGAAGATGGCGGTGATGTGATGTGGTCTGTTAAAACCAGTAGCAGTGAGCAGCGTGGGAGCAGCCGCCCACAGGGTCCTTACTCCATGTGGTAACGATAATGGCAGCAGACATTATGGGCTTTATAAAAGCGACAGGAAGAAAGCAGCGTCACCAGTTTCCTCATATACAGTAAGGTGTCAATATAGCATTTATCTGATCCCTCGTCAGTTCCGGCTCTGGATGACCTGTGCGGGTGAGGCAGCGGCATGCAGACGATTATAAATGTGCTCGATGAGTGAAAGTGAAGACTAGACTCATGAGTTTCTGTCCTGAACCCGGTGGGACAAATCTGGACTGCTGAGGCTCCCTCATTTATCTCCCTCCCTTTATTTGTAAAAACATGCAGCCTAGTAAAGGAGACCTGCCTTTAACTTGGACTTTTAATCGAAGTTTTACAGTATATTTCTGCAACCGCATGAATATTTCTCTAGCTCCGGCCCTGGTTAGAAATACTGTACATTTAATAACCTGATCACACAGAGAAATGTGTTGAATGAGTTCCCAGCTCGTAATGACTCGCTATATGCCGGCGCTGCAGTTGTTACAGTGAGGTCAGACTATGTTGCTGCACTTTGAGCAGTGTTCAGTCCTCTAATGTGAAACGCAGTGTTGTGGTTTAATTCCTACAAAAAGGATTTATCAGGTCTGTTGAGAGCAAACACTGAACAGGTAACAGCTGATTTACTGGCAGATACACGCCTGATATTAATGATTTTCACAGTGACGCCTTTGTGACTCACTATGAAGGCTATGATTGTATTCCTGAGAATCAAACAGAAACTCAGATCAAAGTCAACAGTCTGACAAGTTTGTTATCAGGGGAAGCAATTGCTGAAATAAAAGTGCAGGAGTCAGTGCAGTGATGAGTCACCTTTTGCTGTGAATTAATGCTGATGTTGCTTTTTCCCTCTGCAGCTTAAAGAAAGTTTCCAAAGAGCGGCCGACTTACACAGAACTCATGGTGAGTGGGTTTAAATTCTTCCTCTTATCTTAACTAATTAGCAGAGGTGTGGAAGTCACATGATGTGGACTCGAGTCACAAATTTGTTGACACTCGGCTTCACAGAATACAAAAAAAAGACTTGTAACTCGACTATTAAGGCTGCTCTGATTGGTCGTTTTTGTTCAGGCCCGGTGGATTCTTGTAAATCCCATCAGGAGCACTAGGAGAAGCCAAAGGGAACTGATGTTTTAAATGTGTTTAATATGTGTCTCACGTACTACTGTCAGGATAAAGT